AAAAAAAAAGTTTGAATCTTTCTCTCTCTTACACAAAGCATTCGACTTTGAAAAATCCTCTATTTTCTCTCTCTTCAAGAAGCTTTTCAGAGTTTTTGTTGTCTCTCTTTCTCTCTCTACTCCTGAGGCTTTTGATGATGTTGTTGTTGTTGTTTGTCTCGGACAGCCGCTGCTGCCGAGGGGATGGCAATGTGGGGGAAGCAATGGTGGGGCCCACACCAAAATGTATCCGAGCACCCTCTTTTTTTTTTTTTTTCCTCTTCCCTCCACGCCATCGAAGCGTCATTATTTGGGTAAAATTTAAGCAAAGGGATTAAGGGAGGTTTAATTCTCCCGTTACGAGCTTGGACAAGTTTTTGGTTTTAATTACGTGATTGCCATTGTTTCGTTTCAGATTTGGAAATTTGAAATTTAACTAGCCGTTTTGGAGTCTGGACAACCTTTTCCTTATCTCTCTACAACCATTATAGGATGAAATTCAACTAGCTGTATCAGGGTTCAAGTCTTAGATTGATATAGGGTAAAGATATTAATTTTGAGACATGTAAAAATTAGTTTAAAATATCTTAATTGTAAATATTAAAAAAATAGTTATAAAATATTTTTTTTAACAAATTTACAATTAAAGATGGAAGTATTCAAATTCTAGTGTTTGAATTAAAAGAATGCACAGTCCAACTGCTATAAAGTAACTCATTCGGTGTTTTATTTGTTTGAGGAAAAAAACTTTTGTATTCCATTGAAACATGTGTAAATCATATTGATAATTTAGAAATATTGAGTTAAATAATAAAAACTTTGAACTTAAAAAAATATAAATAATATGTAATAAACTTAACTTGAAAATACACATTAATTACAACAATTAGTTGGTGCTTGAAATGGGGCATAATCACGTACATGTTTGATCATGAGATTTTGTATGTGTGTGTGTGTTTTTTTTTACAGGACAATTAAGGGGAATGAATAATGAAATTTATAGGATTTAAATACATGCCCTCTTGTGGTAGATCCCCACTTACACCAAGGGTGAAGGTCACTGCGCCGAGCGTGGGGTTCTTGCACGTGTGTTTGATAATGAAAAAGAAGTGTATGATGAAATCATGATCAAGTCATAAACAAAAGCATTCGAACATGTAATTGAGAAGAAATGGCACAATGTATACGACCAAGAAATTTAAAATTGAAAAGGTGCCTTTTATGTATGCATTAAATAGTTCAACGGAAAGCTTGAAAATCTATCCAAAAAGTACCCGATCGGTTAAAAATTGAACATGACTACGACCAAATTCAAATTAGAAAGGTACCTTTTGATGAGGTATCCTTTCTATTTCTATAAAAGAAGAAAACCCCAAAACTCTTTGGTTATTCATTTATTTAATTATATTTTACCATTATAATAATTAAATATTAAATATTAGAAAAGATGCAGGTGATTCCCGTGCAAAAATTTTTTTGGTTGCTGCACATATGAAATTAAATCTCTGTCATCATTTGAAAAAATAACAAAAAGAAAACCCTACTCCACCACAACATGAAATTGCTTGGAACAAAGTTGTAGCCGTTGCTATTAGTATGGAGAAATGGGGTATATTAAACCATTTGCACACCATATGGTCAAAGCCACTATACGTAAATAAAAAAAGTAATTTCTTATAAACTCTATAATTTTAGTGTGGATAATTGGTTTTTGATCAAATTAAGAAAAAATTATAGTTTTGAAATGTGAAAAAATTAATTCAAGAACACTATAATCACTAAAATAAAAAAATAAAAAATAACTTTAAAAAACTATGTTTAAGGTCAAGCCCACAAACATATTCAAGCCGGGATCTTCTTTCCTCTGGCCCACTCATGGGAACCAATAAATCCTTGCAAAAAGAGAAGGCACTTTTCTCGAATCATGATATTAATATGATTTAAGATATGGTGTGAATCAAGAATAGCTTGATCAAAACAACCATCATTTCTAGCTAGCCTTGCAAACATGCCACCATTTAATAGAACATAAACCTAAGGGGGGATACATCAATATACCTCAAATTAATTAGATCTAAACTAGAAATTAAGGGCCCACAATCTTAAAATTATGAGTTTAATTCTCGTGCATTCCAGAATTTTTTAAATATTTTCTAATGTTTATGCACTGTACTTAAATTATCAAATTTATATTGTATTCACTTGTAATGACTTTGTGTTTTATATGTATATTTAAAAATTACCCAACCTTCTTCGCAGTAGTCATCATATATTTCTACTTTTTGTATATTTTTTAAAAGATTAATGTTTATCAACTAAATCATTAAAAAATTAAGAAAAAAATTTTAAAATTATATTATTTTATTAAAATAGTATGAAAAATCTAAATCAATCTTATTTTTTTACTCTAAATATAAATCATTTTAACATTTTTCTATGTTAGTTTAATGAACCGATAGTCTTAATATATTTTTCTCTTATTCTTAGAAAATAGCCTAACAAATACTATACTCATTTTGTATTTGAGAAAAATAAAAAATTGCAGTGATGTAATTATTCACAAATACCGGGGTAGTTTGTTGTGATTTCTTAGGTTTTACAAACGTTCACGGCATAAGTTATTCTTCGCTGGCTTTGCAAAACATCTCATAATTAAATATTTATGGAACACATTTTTCAAATAAATAAAAAAAAAAAAAAAAATTTGCAGAAATGGTAAATAAAATAAGAGAAATATTATGATATATTGGACAAATCACAATGCCAGTCCAACACGATCGGGAGGCCAGCTCCTTGTCGATTTCTCCAATCCTGTCGCACTGAGAATGACCAAACGACCCTTGATGGTCAAATTATGAACCACATTCTCTAAGGTTGTTAATGTCATTTAAAAAATTTTAAATTTGAATCATATATAATATGGATGGAATGAAATGGAATAAAAAAGAGTAGATGATTGGTTTTCATTATCCAACCTAAATAAAAAAAAAAAAATTATCATTTGAAAATACTTGGATCCATAGACAGCAACATCATTACAATGAAATTAAGGCAAACAATTCTATGATTCCTATCACAAATAACTTAGGCCAAACAAATTGAATTTAGGTTTGTTTGGTTGACAGAAAATGATTTTATTTTTAAAAGTATTTTCTATGAAAAATATTTTTGTTTTTCAATGTTAATTTTTGATGTTTGGAACATTTTGAAATTTTTCAAAATTTTTAAAATATTAATTATGTAAAGGTTAAAAAAATTAGAGATAAAACATTAAAAAAATAATAAAACACACCTTTATCAATTTCAAATTTTCCATTATACTATTCAAATAAAAATTGAGATATTAATTCTCTATTTTTCAAGTTTAAGTAGTACTGTCTTTGATCAACTTTAATAATTTTAGTTTTTTATTTTAATCACTTAAATTTAATTATTTACTTTTCCTTTTTAAGTAGTCATTTAATTAATGTGTTTATTTTTATTTTACTATTATTTTAAAATGATAATTACAACATATATGAAATAAAATTTATTTAAGTGACATTTAATTAAAAACAAATATGAAATTTTATTAATAAATTATTATCTCTCTATTTTATTAAACAAAAAAAATCAGGCATGCTAAAATTAAACAAGAGAGAGTAACATAAAAAATATTGTATGTTAAAAAACCTATCTATGAAAACAATACAAAAAAGAACTAACTTCCCATGAAACTTGCAACCTTTCTATATGCCTATATGCCTTTACGAAAAAGCAAAAGAAGAGTTCACCCAAAAGTACTAACAAGACAAAACCCTTGCTATCCTTGCACCAAAAAGTATTAACAATCCATTCGTATGTTCCACCTAGAAATGAAAAAGGGCAGTCGACACATATTATCATTTAATTTAATATATTTTATAATATATTTATTAATAAATTATTATTTTTAAATTGAAATAACAAATAAGAAAACTTAAAGTTATAAATTTTAATAACTAAGTCACTGAGTATAGGTGGATAGTAAATTATAGGGCATATCAATTATCTTTTAATAAAAAAAAAAAAAGAAGAATGAAACCAAATTCCTTGAGTATTAGAGGCTGGAGGGGCTAAAAACAGCTAATATTCAGATTCCGTAGCAGTTTGATTGGGAAGTTTGGGATTAGGTTATTGTTCTGGGTGGAAATCTTGGTAATATTTATGTCTCTTACAAAGGATTTCATATGTGTAATTGATAAAATTCCTCGGCTGGCATGTGCTCATATGTGTAAACAACTCGCTTTGCTTATATCACAAGTCTGGACGAAAGGAGTTTAAGCCAGTAAAAGCAAATGCCACATTTAAAAACAATTTGCACTTGCTATTAATATTGGGGATCTTGTTTCCATAGACCGAGCTGTCTATGCATTAAAGAATTCATGGTATGGTCAAGGAAGCTACAAGGAAGGATTTGATGGAAGCCATGGTGCAAGGTGATTCTACTGGTATGTTCGCATGCCCTTATACTAGTGCGGCATTGACAGCCTTGATTAAGCTTAGAAGAAGTGGGATTGTCAGTCCTATGGATCGGACAGTGGTGGTGACTGGTGAGCATTACTCACGGATTGAAATTTACGAGTAAGATTGATTATCACTCAGGGATATCAAGGATATAGTTTGCCAGTTTGCTAAATCCTCCCCTTCAAGTGAAGGCTAATTTTGAGTCAGTGATGGATGTTTTGAAGAAGAATTTGTTGAGCAAGGCAAATTAGGCACTTGCAAGCATTGTAAGTTTTGCTCATGTACTCTCTCTTACTCTTTGCTTGTAGGTCATGTATTTTATTGATTAGTGCATTCCTAGTTAGGATTTGGAGTTATTTGAATTATAGCTCTTGCTAGAGGGAAACCTCTATATAAACTATGGCAGCATTGTCGATCTTTGCATGAGCTTATTATCATTTTAACTTAATGACACTTTCTTTAGCTGCTATTTACATGTTCCCTTGCTATCTAATGGAGCATGTTTGTAAGTTCATTCTTATGTCTTGAACATTTATATATCGTTTGGTCTTTTTATTAAAACCATTGGAAGGTAAGCTGAGATTGTGTTTATATTGATAGTTCAAGTATGCGTTTTATAAGCCTGCAATCTTTTGCTTAGACACTTCAAAAAAAATCTTCTAGCCATCTAAATAGCTTCTTGTCCCCTTCTCTTGTTTCTTAGGTAAAGGCAATCTTCTTACTCTTATTGAATGGCATAACTCAAAGAAGCTGCCGGAAACCCATCATGCTGAACATTCTGAAAATAAAAACAACAACTACTACTACTACAAAGATGGCATTTGGAATCCAATACATTAGATTTCCCTAAATTGAACTAATCCCATTTTGTTCAAAATTTCAGGACATTAATTGTAATTTACTGTAGTAAATTCTCATGATGCTTAAGGAACAAGAATGGGAGAGAAGGATCATCTAAGTGGAACATCTGAAGGAGGTAACATTTCTCGCCTTACTTTATTCACTTATCTTCTTGACATGTAATTTCGAAATGTGTTATTATCATTATTTTGTTTTTGAATGGCAAAATTTTATTAAATGAGTATAAGAGGTACTTAAATCCATATACAAAATTAAGAAATTATCAATCACTCAATTTAATTTCTGGCTTTTAACTGAGTTCCAACTACCCATTGTAAAATAGTTCATTTGCTAGCACATACCCTTAGAGTAACGATCCAGTCTGACATAAAAAAATGTCATTACCTTTCCTCTGTTTTTCACCCACTCATATTTCTTTCCTTGTTTCGAAATGTGTCAATAAATAAACTTCCTTTTCTTCTTGTGTAGTTAACAGCTTTGGTGTTTACAAAACTTTGAATGATGAATCTCTTCCAGGCATCTGTAGACTGAATGAATCCTCAGCCCTGTCTCAATCCAGAGTGCAAACTACAATTCAATTTTTGATGCAGATGCTTCTAGATTCTAGTGGTCTTGCTAGGGGTAGCAATGGTTGGTGCGAAACTGGTACTCTGGTTTCACTTGTCATAAATTAATGTACTTTTGTTATGATATGGTTGACGCTTATTCAGGTGTTGTGTCATCTTTGGTAGCCTAATATAATTTCCTTCTTAAAGGCGAGTTACCTAAATCTTGAGCACGTATAATGGAAGTCCTCACCTATTACTCTCTTTAAAAATAAAACAGAGGTGGAGCTTTAGAACCTGTGGAGTGTTTTCAAAAAGAGAGCTAGTCTCTCTGCACTTCTTCTTCTTCTTCTTTTTCCCTTGCTTTCAATGCTATATTTTTTATTAAAAAATTCAATTCAAAATTTTTTGTTTGAATATATATAATGTGAATTAAATAAAATAATATTAATGTGATTTTCAAGAAAGTTTTATTTAGTTATATGCATTGGAGAGAATGTGTTTTGTTAAGTGTTTCGTTTAAAGGTTAAATATATAAAAATGTAAATTTATATAAAATAATGAGATTAATATTTATTAGCCGAACTTACAAAAAAAAAAAAGGTCAAAAAACACTTTAAATTATGTCGTTTCAATAAAATATTACAAGAAAATATTGAAATAGTGTCATCTATGATTTAAAAACTAAGATGTTTTAGTCTTTTTTAAAGAGAATTTATTAAAATAACATAATTTTAAAGTTTTTTTTGTCTAATTTTTACAAGTATAATTAATAAACATTTTTTTTCTAAAATAATACTAATTGTGATAATGTGACATTATCAAAACACTAAAGAAATCTTTGCCATTGTATATGCTCTTTAGTAACAAATTTTAGGACAAGTGATAAAGGATTTGAAAAGAAGTGAGAATCATCCTTCTTATATAACTTATTATAGGATTTTTATCCTTGTTGAACTCTATATTGGCTTTGTCTCCATTAATTGTTAAGCAGGAAATACCGGCATTGAGGATATGACAAAAAATTATGTAAGTTAAATATAAAAAATACTACTTTACTTATTGTCAATTGGTTTCATATTGGATGCAAATTTTATATTGAAGTCCACATATCTAATTTTCAAATGGTATTATAGTCTAAGCTCCATTTCTGTAAAACATGTTGGTAACCCATCTAACAAGATCCGAAATTCATAATGGATTTATACATAAGAAGACTTATTAAATTATGTGACAGGACTTGACGTTGATATCAAGTTTGCACATGAGAAGTTATATTAAGTGAGAAAATCCCATATCGATGATATAATAAATACAAAAAAAACTACTTCATCTATTCTCAGTTGATTTTAAATTGGATGTAAATATTATATTGAAGCTCACATGTATATGTATAGTTTTCACACCCATATGTTAGCCATTATTACATAAAAACAGCATTGAACATTTTTTATGCTAAATAATTTCTCATTCGCAAACAATTTCACAAGTGCAAGAACGCTCAGTCGCTCCTGCAGGTTCCCATGAGCACCTTCTAGGCATGGCACCTGCACCAAAGGTAGAAAGTCAATAAGACATTGGTGAGCACCGTCATTGCCGCAATTCCCTGGAAATTTTTGTGTTTTGGAAC